AGCGAAACTTGAATTCTTAAACTCTTTGGCTAAAATCATTGGGGTATAAGCTAAATCTACATTATAACTTTTTGATAATGTAATTCAAATCTTAGACAATCTAGAAATTGACTATAACTCCTAAAATAATTAGGATAATCAAGTAGAATATAACCTTAATAATTTTTTTGAAGTTAAAAATAATAATCAAAAATAGATCATTAAGAAGACTTAGATTCTGAATTTATATATACTATTCAAGAAAACAAACTAGACAACATAAACATGAGTAACCAAGTATTACAAGAAGTAGCTACTGCTATAACCAATTTGATCTAAGCTTTAAGTGTTAATAGTGAAAAGATTCTATTTAAAATTGAATCTTTTCAAAATAACAGAACTCAAAACTTTATAATCTGATTAGAAAATTTTGAACAGGTAGCCAAGGCTAACAGATAGAGTGCTATATACTAATTTGAACTTGCATCTTCTTATCTTACTGATAATATTCAAAAATAGTTATAGAGCTTAGTATATACTTTTAATCATTTCAAATACAATAGATATAGCCAAAATATTAATAGAGTCAATATCTATAGTTTTTATTATTTATTCAGAGAAAACTTCTATACTACTCAACAAAAAACTACTTGGCAAAAACAGTTCTTTGCTATACAACAAGGCTCAGATACAGTTGATATTTATGTTAACAAATTTAAATAATTAAAAAAATGAGTTAATCTAGAAGCTAATTTTTCTACTACTTTTCTAATCTAGTTCTTTATTTAAGGACTTTAATCAGAATATTTAGTAAATATTTAAGCCTCAGAACTAGCAAACCTAATGGTAGCAATAACTGCAGTATAATGTTAGGAAACTAGAAAGCTTATAGTCTCTAACACAAATTCTAACACAGATAAAGCTATTGAACAACTCACTAAACAAATCACTAAACTAAATATTAACCTTGCTGAGAAGCAAACTAACCTTACTCCTAAATCTATATACTACTCAAATAATTCAAACAAAAACAGATTTAACAACAATAATCAATAGGATCCTACTTGTTTCTACTGTAGAAGTAAAGAATATTATATTAAAAATTGTTACAAATAGAAAGAAGATTTTCAACATGATTTCTATTCTGATCTTTGATCTAGATTATGTAATCATATAACTTGGCTAAGACCATAGTTAACAACTTAATAAAGTTTATAACATGACTGTCAAAGAAAAAAAAAAATAAAAAAAAATAAAAAAATATTTAAAAAATACAAATCAAAAAATATAATATATATAATATTAAAATAGATTATCTGTTTTAATAAAATTTGATTATAGAATTACATATTGGCTACTTTTATTACGAATTTCTTTGATTTGAGTTTTAGTTTATCTTTTGACAATTTTTCATGATTTATTAGTAATTAATAAAAATTTTATACAATAAGTTATTTCATTGATTTGTAAATTAAAAAAATAGGTTTGTAATAAGAATATTTGTTTTTTATAAATCTATTATAGAGTTAATTTATTTTTTTATTAATTGAATTTACAAGTTATAGTTATCCTTATAAAAACACATATCACGTAAATTGAATATATCAAATTCCACTTCATAATAAAATCTCTATTTAGAGAACATTTATTTTTATAACTAATATTGCAAAGATTCATCTTATTTCATTGATAACTATTTTCTCAACTCTTAACTATAACTAACATAAACTAATCTCAATCTTAATTTAATAGCTGTTATTATTACAGTGATGATCTGTTCATTCGCAGATGTTACCTACTTTGAACTAGTTATTAGCAGCTCCTTTTCACTAAATAAGAGTCAGAAAACATATTTGATACAAATTTTCAAATAAAATCTTAGATATGTTGATCATCTGACAATAATAGAAAAGTTTACATGTAACATATCGTATGACTGATACTATTCTTTGAACAGTGCAAGAAACTTATCTTCTACATTACTCAGGTCAACGAATTTAACCATTTTAACTGTCTCATCGAGACGAATCGATCACTAAATTTTAATTACAGGGTAACGAGATATTACGATTTTAATAGGTTTTATAAATACTGAATATCTCGTATTTTAGTAATTGAAATTTAGTGATTTTGGTACGTAACATTGAGACGGTTTGAATGGTACAGTACCTAAATTGTTAAATGTTACGTATACGCTAGATCTTTAGATATTCCAAAAACAGAAATTTAAAAAAAATTTAGTTCTATACTAAACTGCGCCATAACCGTTTTTTACGAATATCTGAAGATCTAACGAACGATTTTGGTACCATTCAAAGCGTCTTATCAAGACGAATCGAATGATACCAAAATCTTTAAATTTCAATTACTGGAATACGAGATCTTCAAATTTTTATATAATCTGGTTAAATCGTAATATTTCGTTATCCTGTAATTAAAAATTAGTACTATTCGATTCGTCTCGATGAGATGGATGGTTCGAATGATATCAAAATTATTAAATTTCGTTCATTGTATCATAAAGTGGGTCCCTATTTATAATAGTTTTAAAAATTGGACCCTTATATGTAATTATTTTACCGATATAACACAGTCCTTTTGGATGGTGTTTAATAAGTGATGATTAAAGTTGAATAGTTAAATTTGTATCCAGATCATAATTCATCACCTGTTTTTAAATGTGATAATTCTATCACATCTCTAAAAATTTCATCGTTCGAGATAGTCAATTTTAATATAATGTCTTTGTATTCTTCCAAGTCAAGTAATTCCCGCAAAAAGTTATTAGATTTATTTAATGATCCTACAAAACCTTATATAAATGTATGCGCACCAATGGTTAGATACAGTAAACTGCCGTTTAGAGAACTTGTTCGTGGGTAAGTCGTTTCATTTTGAATTCCTTTCAGAATTTCTCGTACAAATTAATTTCAGATATTGATTTAACTAAAATTCGTGCATTTTCAAAGTTATAATGTAGATTTAGCTTATACCCCAATGATTTTAGCCAAAGAGTTTAAGAATTCAAGTTTCGCTCGGGATTTCGATTTTAGCACTTCTTCTACTGATAGTCCACTAATCATACAATTCGCAAGTAATAATCCGGTGGAACTTGTTAAAGCTGCAGAGCTTGTTATTGGGCACGTTGACGGAATTGGTAAATTTTTCTTTGAAAGTTTATTTTTGATTTTAGGTATAGATTGCAAAATTTTATCTTTTTTATTATAGATTTGAATTGTGGGTGTCCGCAAAAATGGGCTTTGAATGAAGGTATAGGTGCACATTTAATAGATCGACCGGAACTAGTAAAGGATATGATTCGGATAGTTAAAGGTAGTGGTATAAATTTACCGTGTTCTATTAAGATTAGGATTCATAATGATATGAGGCAAGTTTGACGATTCGGATAATTGGTTAGACACGATAAATCATTTTAGATAAATATTTTTAATATTTTCAACTGATTTTTTCTCCCCGAATCACGAAAAGAAAAACTTTAGATTTTACAAAAAATGCTGAATCAGCAGGTGTAGATTTTATAGCAATCCACGGTCGTACGCGTCGTCAAAAATCTACTTCGCCCATAGACCTGAATACAATAAAACTTTGTGGTATGTGAGGAAAGCCAGACTAACGAATTAGCTCTTTAAAATCAATCAGATTAACGACGTATATGCGTAATCAAATTAACTTATTTATTTTTTACGATTTTATAATTACAATATTGTTACAGAAATTAAAGCTTGCGGATATCTAGATCGATCTCTAAATAAAATATGTCCGATGATTTATTTTGTCCCAACAAAATACTTTATAAGTCACAAAATTTTGATAACCACAAATATCTCACAAAATTCATCATAATTTCTCAGAAGTATTCTCAACCTTGGCTAAAAATCTGTTAAGCGACATATGGTAACAAATTAAATTTCCGAGGTCTCATTTTCGCACGACCGAAATGTGTGATATGTTGATCGACAAAAATTAAGAGTATTTGTTTGTTTTGCCTCAAAATTATGGTTATAAGAAAAAAAAAAAAAAATCCTCATAATTTGGAGAGTCAGCCTAAATTCTAACCTTAACCCGGAACAACCTAACCTTAAGTTTGCCAATGTCGATCAATCAACAATATCATAACCTATCATACATAGTGATGTGCCATTTAAATGATACCCGAATTTTTTTCGCGTACAGTACGTATAGTTGTTTCTAGTGATCTAATTGGTTTGTAGAATTTATCGGCAAGAATTTTCGCGTACAGTCAGTGTTTAAAATTCAAATTCCAAATTATGTTCTCAAGTGAGCTAAATTTATAGTATTAATGTTCTCAAAAATTTTTTAATGTTCTCATTATATAAATA